GAAACATAGGTGTATGGAGTGTTGAGGAAGAGTTTGCAGGTTCCCCGAGTAGATGAGGAACTGCAGCCAAAGGTAACCTGTGTCTCCCAGCTTCAGGCTGACCTCTGTATTTTTGACGTTCCTACTCAGTATTAATTTCTGTGTTTAACTGTAATAGACTGTTTTTTTCTCCAAGCAATGCAGTACATATGCCAGTTATGATTTAAGATTGTCTTTGAGTTGTTAAATAGCAGAACTAGTAAGTTCTGCTATTTAACAGTGATTAAATAGTAAGCTACAGGGAAAGGGAGCAAATGGAACTGTGCAATTTTACCATGTAAATCTCTTGTCCTCAGCACACCCTGACAGGTCACAGTGGCAAAGTTCTGTCAGCCAAATTCTTGCTGGACAATGCACGTATTGTTTCTGGAAGTCATGACCGGACCCTCAAGCTCTGGGACCTCCGCAGCAAAGTTTGTAAGGAAACCTAACTTCTGTCTTCCATCCATGTTCTGTGCTTCTACTAAATGTAAATACAAGTCTGACAGCTAGAGTATTTCATCTGCTTGCTAGTCTAAAAATAAGCAAAAACTAGCAGCCGTCCCATCTTGTGTTGTTATTCAAGTAATTGGATACTTTCTGCCTGTTACCTGAAATAAGAAAGCATGTGTATGCAGGAAGCACTGTTAATGCTATTACGTTAACAGCAGCTGTGTTCTGTGAATGTCCTTTGTTTACCAGTCTGGGGGTGGGTATTTTAGTCTTCCAGTAAAAGTCTGGTGCCAGATCAGAATTTTTAACCCTAAGGTGGATGGAAGTGTCTCTTGGAAGTGTACAAAAAAACTCGCATGAAGGAAATGCTAGGATCCAGATTTTTGGGGGGAAAAACACCTTATTTCCTTGGTTTGTCTCCTATTTATGGTTCTTAAACATGCTTGCCCTGAGAGAGAAGTGGAGATTCAGGGTTACCTTGATACCTGGACTACAAACATAGGTCAAGGACACAGTTTCATGTTGTTCAACAGCAGCAAATTATAGCTGTCTAAATACCAGGTGGAAGTAAAGCAGTTCTCTTGGGAGCATTTAAAGGGATATTAACCATAGCAAAGGAGATTGAGAAGGGCAGAGAGGTTGTTGAAGACTTAAATCAGGATTATTCTAAGACAGAATTTATCTGCCCTGTGGCACTCCTTGGACACTGCTTGTGTGACCACTGTGTGTGCATGTGGGATAATGATTTCTCTGTTTTCATTAGTCTGTACAGTATAAACGTCAGTGTGTCACCATTAGCTTATCTTTTTTTAGGTATAAAAACAGTGTTTGCAGGATCTAGCTGCAATGACATCGTATGTACTGAACAATGTGTAATGAGTGGACATTTTGATAAGAAAATTCGTTTCTGGGACATCAGGTAAAACTATTGTGAGAGAGGTAACAGCATTGGAGTGGTTATGGGATTGCTGTCCGAGTGTAATCTGAACTAGGGGATTTCTCCTGAGCTTGGAAGCTAATGATGTGTTGTAAGAGTTGCAGAAGACCATTGAAAGAGACTTTTGTTAGTACTTTTACACTGCTTGGTGGTTTAGATTTGGGATACTTTTGGGGGGGATGGAGGGGGAGGGGAATGACTTTTCCAAAAGGGCAGTCTGCTTTCTTGTAAATATTTTGCATTGGTTAGTATTTGCCATTCTAGACACTGTTTAGCTTTTCAGAGGGTGGGTAGTGATGAAAGTAGTATCTGTTGTTAGATAGCTGGAAGTGTTATCCACAAAGTGAGATCTAGCTTGGGCAAGAATAAACCAATAAACTTTTTCTCCTCTTCTTCCACACTGGGACAAGTCAAGGCTTTAATGTGGAGGTGGTTTGGACTCTGGATGCTGGGTTTACCCTTCCTTTTTTCTGTCTTTTTTTCTTTCTTTCTTTCTGTCTTTAGGACTGAAACCATAGTAAAAGAGCTGGAGCTGCTTGGAAGAATCACAGCTCTGGACCTGAACTCAGAAAGAACAGAGCTTTTGACCTGTTCCCGTGATGATCTACTAAAGATAATTGATCTACGGGTTGGTGCTGTCAAACAGACGTTCAGGTGAGCATGTTCTCCACAAGAACATTACGAATTTCAGTGCTTTTGGATTGCAGATTGCTCTTAGTACTGGAGTGTTTTTCAGTATCTCCATGGAGAGAGCAATCTGCAAGATGTTTTTCTGCATGGGTAGCAAAGTTCTCTCAAGCCTAACAGCAAAGATCTGCTCTATTGGATCTTTTCATTTATCTCTTTAAAGAAGGTAGCTTGGCTTAGAAGTCTTTGACCTAAAGGAAAGAATTTCTTCAGATGCAGTTGAGGGTTGGTGTATGAGAAATGCAAATTGTGATAAAGGGATACTAGAGCTTATTCCTCAATCTCGTGTAGAAATCCTTACCATACTCTGTAGTGAAAACCTGCAAGTCCATCTGCTTATAAAAGAGCTTGTAATTATCTGATTCTTCTAACTTTTCAGTGCCCAGGGATTCAAATGTGGCTCTGACTGGACAAGAGTTGTGTTCAGGTAAGGTCAGATATGTAAGCAAGATACCTGATAAATCTTCCCCCAGCAAAAGTCAGTGATTTCTGATACTTGGCTGCATTGTCCTCATTTACAGGTACAATAACTGGGGCAGAGTCTGTGATATGGCCAAGGTTACCTTTTGGTCAAGACAGAGTATATCTGTAGGTGTTGATCCAATAGGTTGTAAACTTTCTGATTTTAGAAGGCTTTCACCTTAGTGTTAGCAGCTGGCAATAATACATAACTCTTGGAAGACTTTAAAGCCGAGTTGCTTGCTTAGGAAGCTGCTGCTGAAGTGATTATGTGTGCTGATAAATTGCTGACTTGAAAACTGTTCTCTGCCTTTTGCACCTTCTGATCTCATAGCCCTGACGGTAACTATGTGGCTGCTGGTTCAGCTGATGGGGCCCTTTACATCTGGAATGTGCTCACTGGGAAATTGGAGAGGACACTAACAAAGCATCACAGGTGAGGGGAAGCCTGCCATATGATCTAAAGCAGGTATCTGGGTTGTTAATCTTGCTGAGCTATGGATTAATTACAGTTGTACAGCTCTGCAGCTTACATTGGCGTGTCAGAATTCTTAATATGTAGATTCTTTATGGATTGCTGGCAGTATTCTGTAGCTTGAATTAAGGTTGGGTTTGTTATTTTTCAACTTCTTAAACTGAGATATGATTTTAATAAAGTACATTTGATATAGTCTGAATAAACTGTATCTCTCATAGGCTTATGAAAAGCCCAAGTCTCCTGAGAGCTGGGAAAAATGCCTTTTCTTTGGTAGAGTACTGTAATACTTCATTCCAGTGTTAAGTGCTGTTGTGGAATTGAGTGTTTTTGTGAACTTACACCTGGCTTCTATTTCAGTTCTCCTATCAATGCAGTTGCGTGGTCACCAGCGGGTACCCATGTGGTCAGTGTGGACAAAGGAAACAAGGCTGTCCTGTGGTCTGAATTCTGACTGGATGAAGGGTGAAAGGCAGAGCATCTAACACCTCTGAGTATGGTGGTGCTGGTCCGTGGCTGAACAGAATGGAGACCCGAGCCCAGATCCATCCGGAGTCGAGATACTAACCAGCGCATGGGCTTCACTTTCCAGAGGGAAGTCCTAATGCAATGGAGAAGGAGCCTGAGTCAGAGACTTCTTTATGCCATAACTGTGCTGTGGCACTCGGACTCAGCAAGAGATTCGTTGTTCTGGATGGAGAATGCTACTTAGTCATGCCTTTACATGAAGTATCTATGCACCAAGTGGAGCTGAAGATACTAATGTGTTTCCTCACCAGTCAGCTGTGCCAAATACCCTGTCACTCAAATGTATCCAAGCACCTCTGAGTTGGGAATGTTGGAAAGAAGTTACTGTGTATGCTGACTTAATACATGTCCTGTCTCCTGTGTTCTGTTCTTGTGGCCTAGTTCAGGCATAGGGTGAGAAGATCCTGAAATGTGGACAGGTCCTAGGCAGCCTGAAATGTTGGAACAGCTTTTATAAAGTCTCCCATGGTTCTGGCAGCTCTGCCTTTGAGTTGCCAGATCAGTTCAGATCTGTTCTGATTCTGACACAGGTTCTCCAACACTGTTGTGTGAACTCTTTGTATCGGTTTCGCCTGTTCTTAAGGCAGTGGTCCATTGTTCAGGACTTCTACACCCTTTTGTTAAAATGCCCTTCAACAGCTTGGGTATCACAAAATAGGAGATTTTTAATATTTTTATTCCACAAGCAGTTTGGTTACTGGGTATGAGGAGAGAGAAGTTGAGCTTCTGTTGTGCTGCTGTGATAAGGAATGTAGTCATACTGTGAGTTCAGTACCGGAATATTCATGTTTGGTCCCTTTTTCTGTTCATCCGTCCTGTCCTGGCGGCTGTCAGCGGAGCACAGGGGAGCAGTGGGGTTAAATCCCAAATCCATTGTTTTGGTGCTGGCAATTCCAGGCCACTTGCCCCCTTCTTGAGCACACGTGCAATATCCCCATTTGCGCTGGAGCCCTCTCTGTGCTACAGAGTGGAGTCTTGGCTCTGTCCCTGTTTAAGTATCCAAAACCATGGTGTGGCTAGGTGTGAGCTACCTGGCATACCTTTATCCAGCCAAACCTTTCCACATCATCTGGGCCTCAAGACAAGCCACCAGCGTTTTATTGCCTTTTTATTTGCACTTTATTTTCTTCTTTCCTGATAGTGTTTTACTAAGGAAGTGTGTTCATTGGAGGGACTAGATTAGGGGGTAGCTGCTATAACGGGCATCTCTCTAACCTAGCCTTTTGTTCAGACACTTTCTGCAGAGGGGAATTAGAGTATATGGGGCAAAGTTTTTATTTATTCAGCTGCCCATAAGAACTTGATTGTAAATAAACCCGTGTTCTGCTTTTAAACCCCCACAATGCCTGATTCATTTATTTCAGTCTGTGTGAGATCTTCTGAATGAGATCTTCATTCTTCTGAATGAAGATGGGATTCTGAAATGTTTTCCTGTGCTGTTTTCCTGATGAGTTGTGGATTTGTGTTCGGCTGCATTGTGGGATTTGGCGTAGAGCAAGAAGGAGGATAATGCTCTTAGATTGAAGCTGGCCATCCTGCAGATACACCTGTTCTCGCCCTGTGTTGGGAATGCTGCCTTGAGATGGAAGGGAGTTTTAACATGTTGAACAAGTGCCTCTATCCTTGAAAGGTTGATGTATTCTTGGCTGTTTTGGATAAAATACTGAATTGAGGAAATCGGTATCTGTGTTTCAGACACCACTGAAAATATAAGGCTTTTTCTGCTGTGGCACTTTGACTGCCACCTTGTGAAGTTTCTAAGCCAGGAATAGGAGTTGCACTTTTTTTTAGAAAACACAAAAACCCTTGTTGAAGATAATGCTCTTGTTCCTACTTCAGAGTAACGAAGCAAAGCCTTTAGCTGTTCAACATACAAATTCATACATAACTAAGAGCCATCACTAACCACCCTCCTGTTTCCATAAGAAAAGTAGCCTTCTGTCCAGCTCTTGGAAGGGAGAACTGTAGCAACAATGGAAAGATTCACTTCGGCATTCTGAAGCATTTCTAAAGACAAGTTATTTCCTGTTCTGCCTATTGCTGTGGCAGAAGGTCCTGAAAAGGCACCTACCAAGAGTCCAGGTGACCTTGGTTACTGCAGGAAAGCAGATCACTAAATGACAAGTCAGCGTGATGAAAGATTAGTGGGAGATTAACGTAATAAAAACTGCAGGCTCTACTGAGGAGGATCAGAATGGGTTTAGGATGTTTATAATTCAGGCTGCTACATTTGTGGTTTTCTACAACATGGGTGCAGGTCTTACACAAGGGCTTTGTTTGCCTGCTGATGCTGTTATGTAGTAGGTTAATAAAACTCAAGGATAAGGGTTAGCTAGCTAAGACCTTAAGCATTTTAGATTAAAATTCTGTAGGACCAAGGTATGTAGGAAATCCTGGTAACCAGTTTTTTCCCCTATAGTTTATTTACTTCTGTGGCTCCCTTTCCCGCTTCAGCCTGCAGAGCAAAGAGGAGGAATTGATGTACCTGCTGTGCAGAGGTGGCTGTTGCGGTGTTTCTCTGCTAAAGGTGCAGCTGCCCTTCAGGTGGTTTGGGGGTTGGGCACTTTCTCCAGACATCAGGGTGCATTAGGAACATGTGTTATGGCAGAGCTGCTTCCAAGCTGCCCTGAAGATGTTTGCAGTGGTGCATTTACCCACACCTTCCAGGCCCTCAGAGGAGTAGCAGGTGTAACAGGAATGCTCATTCCTCTCCTGAATGACTAGTAATCCTGTAGTGGCAGCAGCACAAACTTAACCAGCTTCTCTCTTTTGCTTTTTCACTGCATAACTGAACAAAAGTGTTGATTTTTGTGGGTTAACTTACAGGTTCTCTTCCCTACTTTGTGCAACCAGGGTCTGGCTTTCTTCTGCAGCGCAGGCACATGTGAGTTTCCATGGCTTAGGGCTGTCTAGTTTGTCTTTGCCAGCTGATTAGGCAGAGTAGTGATTAAGCTTTCCAAATAATCCACCTCCAGTTAATAAAATATTGCTGGAATTTGGAAAACACTGAAAGAGCTGATGAACACTGGTTCTGTGTGCATTTTATTGGGATAACTTGTGTACCCAGGCCACTATATTCAGGCAAATGTTGGTGATTGTTTGCAAGAAAAGCAAGCTTGATTTGTGGCAGCAGGATTGCCTGAGATGGAGGGTGCTGTTCAAGCTGGCAAGTGGACGGGATATCATGTGATCCTTCTAATCAAAGTAACAGATGCAGCCCAGAGGAAAACTACAGCTGTTTATGCAACTTGCAAGCCAAAAATTGCACATACTGTTGTGCATAATATCAAGATCAAATTCAAGGAGGGGGGGAAGCTATGCTTAGACATTCATCAACAGAAAAGCTAAATTGACTGAAATCTCTGTTCATGTGTCTTACATCTTGGGTGTTGTGCCTCAGTCTAAGTCAATTAAGGAGGGGAGGTGTACTAGCTAGCAATATACTGTTTTGCATCAGTATGCCAGTGGGATGATGGTGGAGCAATAATAAACAGCATAGTCGTTATGAGAATAACACATTGTTCTCAATATTTGGTACTCTTTCATAATGGCATCTATTTATAGAGACTTGGTTTGGTGTTTTATGAGCTCCCTTTTTCATAAATGGTTCTTCTCTGTTCAGTTTATCAGGCTGGATGGCTTACAACCTTAGGAAGAAGATAGAGAAAGAGCTTTAGAATAAAGCTGCTTTAAGTAACCATCCTGTTCTATGTAAGTCTGTAGTCTTTGCAGATGTGAGTTTGACATTGGAGACCTCTTCGTTAATAATCTGAGCTTCCTTAGGTAATGCTTCATGTTGCTGACCTAACCACTTTCTAGTTGAATCTTAGCCCAGGTACAATATTTGCTTTTCGTGGGGGATTAATTCTTGAAATCCTGGATGGGACGCAATGAGGGACGTGCTTTCAAATCCCCTACAAATTGTCTTCCTTGTTTGAGAAGAGGTTAGTGATTCTCTCTGGTAGATGTGAAGAAGAATAGGACACAGCTGCTTGGAAAATCCATCTTTCTCCAGTAGTTAGGAGTTCACGTCTTTGTCCTGTGGCAGCTCCTGTGGCATTTGAAACACAGCAAGGTATTTGATTTTATTTGCTGGTTTGTTTATTTGGGTCTACAGCGTGAATAGGGTGTCTGTTCAGCAGCAAATACTATTCTGGAGTTGGAAAACTTACCTGTACTTGATAGAAATTCTTAAATGTGTGTTCAGTCTGTCCTTAATTCTTAAACCTTACTTTTTTTTCCCCATAGCTTTCCAAGAAGGGAAATGTTTTCTTTTCTACAGTTTGTTGCATGTAAATAAGACCTAGAAATTATTTCTACTTTTGAAACAGTTTTTAGATGGGAAAACAAGAAGAAAAATAGTACGGAAGCAGACTGGAAGGACAGGCACACACTGTCAGACCAACAGTCTCTAACACAGTATGGTAATTCACACAGGTCCAACGGGCAGAAGCATGCGAACAGGGCACGTGTAGCATCGTCCTTTCCTGATGCTGCTCCTCAGCTTCAGAGTCGGGGTTAAGGTTGCACATGGGTTGTCCTGTCCACCATCTGCCAAAAGCTTTTTTTTGCCTGTGAACACATCTAACATTGTGAATCCATTCATATTGGTGATTTCCCTTTCCCTGAAGAATCATACTCCATCTGTTTTTTTCCTTGGATAGAAGCTGTATCCTACCCCTGGATACAGTTGTTACCTTTCTGGGCCCATAGCTGGACTGTTACATTCTTGAAGTCTGTTCTGATTTGAGTTCAGTGTTACCCTGCAAGTAATGAGTTGCATTTAGTTCTGATTTAGTAAAATGCAGTAGGATGAGTAAGTTAAGTTCTTGCTTTGAGTTTAGTCTGACTGCTTATCAATACATGCCACCTTTTAAGTCTTAGACTGAAAATGCTGTATCCAAGATATGGGTATGTAAGGAGTTCTGAAATGGTATAAATGGCACTCTCTGTGTTCTTGATTTATTTCCAAATAACTATTCTGCTTACATCAAGACATACTCTTGACATGATACCAAGTGTAACTGCACATGTCAGACTATAGTTGTATATTCCTTGAGTGCGATACTTTTCACTTACCATTATAGAATATACAGTATTTCATCACTTATTCAGTCTCTGCATCATGAAGTGCTCCTCCAGCTTAACACAGCTGAATTTTGGGGAATCCAGGATAGCTTTGTGTCTGTGGGCAGGCTTTTCACCCCTTATCTAAACTTCTTTCCATTCATTCAAGGATATGCTCAATAGTAATTGTCCCAGGACAGATGACGTTACACTGTTGAATACTTCTAGTGGTAAAAAACCACCAAACCAAAGCCAAACAACCACTCCCCCACACACCTTAAAGCAGCCAAAACCCTTAAGCAATGACATTTGTTATTTCCTGTATTTTATCTGATTGATAACAAGTGAAATGACCTTCCTTCTTATGACCACTTAGAGCCTCTGATGACAAATCTTGAGGTAACTTCTGAAAATCAAAGTACCTTGTGTTGATCAGATTACCTTTATCTGTACTCTCACAGATTTCTTCACAAACTTACTACAAAACTCTCTGCAAAGGCCAAGCTATCCCTTCCCCTCCAGGTTTTTCTGTTAGTCTTAATAGACTTTTAGATTTTTAAATACAAATTAGAAGGAGTTTTTAGCCTTTTATAATATTTCTGAAGAGCTGTTTTTAAATAGCTGTTATAGGTGTTTTTTAATGAGGAACTGCTAGAATAAGAAGAAACCCACCTTCTGTGCTTTGCCTGAGTACCTATTGAGAAGAGTGTTTGGTAGACTATACATGGGAGCATAGAGTGCTTTACCCACCAAGTATAATTCAGCTTTTGTCTAATCCACCTGTTTTCTTCTGACATCTTTCCCAGGGCATTTTGGGGCAGGAAATCTTCATTCACCCACAGTCACATACTCATCTTTGATCATGAGCTGCCCCGAGTCTCAAAAGACAAATGGGAAGAATGCTGGTTCTCAAAAACAAGTTATCTTCAGAAAAAGCACCCGTGACAAAGCTGTAAGTACTGTGATTATGGGTTTATATAGGTATGAGTTTTCCTTGTAGTCAGACAAGTAAAGACTTATTAGAAAGTTATTTCCTCTCCTTCATTCCTTTCTGAAGAAGGACCATGAACTATATTTAGTGCTAAGTTTGAAAAGATGATGTAATCAGAGTGTATAGGGCAAGCTTCTCATAATACAACAGGAAGGCAACTCACCTCTCACTGCTCCTGGGTTGTACTCCTGCTGGTAGATGTTTAACAACAAACAAAGGTAATTCAGTGTCTTTCCAGCCTGATGGCACCAAAAATCTTTATAGTTTCTTGTCCTGTGTACAAGAATTAATGTTGTACTCTTGGGAGTTTGTCTACATCTGGTCTTCAATTCTGATGTCCTGAAGCATGTAAATAGTTCTGTTGCTGGTGTGAATTTCATGTTTGCTGGAAAGGAAAATCCATTTAAAATGGAATTGTTCTGATCTCCACAAGATTTATTGCTCTGTGTTGTGTGTCCATCTGTGTGACACACAGCCACACAACCATCGACACTGTGGTTCAACCATGGTCTCGTATCTCCCTACAGTTGACTATCTACCTGGGAAAGCGGGACTTCATCGACAACATAGGGAGTGTGGAGCCTGTAGGTAAGTCCACAAGGATATCCTGCTCTCTGAACCCTGGTTATCCTCTGATAATATTTGTTATTTTTTCCTTTCTTTCAGATGGTGTTGTGTTGGTGGATCCTACACTTCTGAAGGAGAAAAAAGGTTTGAGGTTTTATGCACTGTATGTTTCAGAGATTGTCAGTCCTCTTTTGAAGTGAGATGCTGAGATAGAATCTTTTACTGTTACTGTTTTAAGGGTACAAATGTAACTTTCCTCCCTGGTGAACAGGCTTTTTACTCAATGTAATGTGTTTTCTTACAGATGGTGTAAGTACTGGCTAGGTTATGTAACACTGTCAAAATGGGTTTCCATGGGTTTCACTGTGTAGTGTAGGAAGAGTTTGCATCCTGTGCTTGCTGCATGATTCACCCATCATGTCCTTCTTTCCAGTGTATGTGTCCCTGACTTGTGCTTTCCGGTATGGCCAGGAAGACATTGATGTGATTGGTCTCACTTTCCGACGGGACCTGTACTTCTCTAGGGTCCAAGTGTACCCACCTGCTGACAAGCCAGAGACTCTCTCCCACTTGCAGGAATCTCTGCTAAAGAAGCTGGGGAAAAATGCTTATCCCTTTTTCTTTACGGTAAGTATCTTATAGGAGCCTCTGACCCTCCTCCTTGCCTGTTATTATCAGGCTGCTGAGACTTGGTGATGGAGAGAAGACGGGGATTAATAGTGAATTCACATTATGCAAAGTTCCAATATTGAGTTACAGGCAATCTACCTTGCTTACTGTCCTAAGTGGTAAAGTGCAAGAAGATCCTAACTGTGTGAAAAAGTCCTTTTCTTGAAAAGAGAAGGAAATACGCAATGGCTATATGCTAGCAACAGTCCCATATATCCTTATCTTCCCATTCCTGAGGGGAAGGAATACATTCTACCATTGCCTCACTGCTCACAGAAGAAGTGCTAAATTCTTTCTCTTTAAAAATGTTATGGATCAAACAAGTGGATGAAAAGCTCTTTACCAGATGTTGTCAACAAATAAGAGCTTGTTGCCAAACTCTGATTCTGATAGGATATGCTTCCAGTACTGTCAGTACACATCTGCCTTAGCATTCCCTAGGAAGGCCCAGGTTTGAAAAACAGATGCTCTGATACAGCAACAAATAAGTCCTTGAACGATTCTGCCTAGTGGGTTGTTACCCACTGCAGTGTTATTAACAACTCATATACAAGTAGTGATCTTCTGACTGCTGGAGTCTCTAACAGGGTGTTAGCCCTCAGTCTCCACGAGTTACTCTATAGCCTTCCCAGTTGATGTCGGGAGTTGCTGGCCCTGCTCGGGCCAGGAGCAAATGGATACTGGCTGGTGGCTGGCTGGTTTTCGTGGCCTTAATTGTGTTTCTGGCATGGACACTCTTTACTCAAGCTTCAAGCCTACGTGAACAGTGAGTACCACTGCTGTGAGGTGTATTGAATATCTTGGATGAGGAGGCAGATGTGGCAGCTTCTACTCCAGGCTGTGCCTTTAGGGCTCTGTTTGATTTTTATACCAGCTGCTTCCTGTGCTTTTTGAACTTTTTTCTCTTTTGACCCCTGCCCCTTTTTTTTGCTATTGAAGTATTTCTGGAAGGGAGGAATGTGCTCATACAAGGCAAGATAAGGCCCAGCATATTAAGGCCCCTATCCTAGCCAGAAGTTTAAAAAGTTGCGCACAAGTATTTGGAGGAACAGCTGAGGGAACTGCGGGGCTTCAGTCTGGGAAGACAAGGCTTTGGAGGGATCTTATTGCTCTCTACAACCACCTGAAAGGAGGTTGTAGGGAGGTGGGGGTCAGTCTCTTTTCCCAAATAACAAGCAATAGGACAAAAGGTGACGGCCTCAAGCTACACCAGGGGATGTTTAGACCGGATACTGGGAAAAATTTCTTCACAGAAATTCAAGCATTGGAACAGGCTGCCCAGGGCAGTGGTGGAATCACCATCCCTGGAAGTGTTCAAAAACAATGTAGAAGAGGCTCTCAGTGACATGGTTTACTGGTGGCCTTGACAGTGCTGAGGAACAGTTGGACTTGATGATCTTAACTTTTCCAACCTAGCTGATTCTGTGATTACAGTGAGGGACTTGCTGTCCTCAGGATTGCTTTGTATCTTTTCTGAGCAATATGTTAACTACAGTAATTAACTGTGTAATATTGCTTTGGGGTATTTTTCTCTTCCTCCCACAGTTTCCAGATTACCTGCCTTGTTCAGTCTGTCTGCAGCCTGCACCTCATGATGTTGATAAGGTGAGACAAATGGGACGCTTCTGCTTATCATGGTTGAGGAAAGTCAGATGGAAAAATTGATGTGAATTCATTTGGCTAGCTTGAGAAAAAATTGTGGTGATAATGGGTTTTACTGTGCTATGCCACAAATGTCAGGATCCTACTTAAGAGCTGCAAGTGAGTGTCATGGAGTTGGAGTTGAAGTTCTCCGAATAAGAAAGGGAATATAGTCTAATAGCAGCAAGACTATTGAATCTGCAATGCTTGTAGTTTCCTCAAGGGTAGCACATGCTTTGCAGGTTGGCTGCACATAAAATGATTGCAGCTGTCAGAATACATGAGACAAAAGCAGACGGAGTGCCTAAAATCTCATAGTTCTCTATAAATAGCATGTGTTAAGTCCTACTTCAGAATTAAATGCAGAGAAGGACTGGCCTTTACGTGTGTTTGAACAAAACAAAAACCCTGGAGTAAAAGTCATAATGAGATGTTCTGCAAGATTTCTGACACCATTTAAAATAGTCCTTTTCTGCTTAACAGGGTGCTTCTCTGAACAGCAGAGCTAGGCTAACAGCTGGGCAAGGTGGATGCAGGTTGTAGAATCCAGCAGAATCCAAGGATAAGTTGTGGGTTTTGTCAAGGAATGATATTCCAGCAAAAATTTCTATATTGCTCTGTAGAGAGTTATCTGGGAATCACAGATGTCCCATGGTGGTACAAACCCATAAATCGTAGACACTGGGAAAGATTGACCCTGAGTCAGGTATTGGCATTACAAAGCCACCTGAAAAATTCAGTTCAGAAACGCGGGGTGGACTGGAGAGCCTTGTATGCTGGTCAGTCTCATAACTCATACCATGCTGTAACCACTGCAGCACTGCTCTCACAGGAAACCTTTTAGGAGTAGGGATATCATCTGGCAAAGATTGGGAATTAAGCCTCATTTACTAGAAGCAGCATGGAACAGGTGGATGCTGCCATACTGCTTGGCAGGGGTCTCTATTACAATGGTAGGAGGCTGGAAGAATTTGCAGTTGGCAGGAGTCTAAGAGTTTCTGGTGTACAGAAAGATATTTAAACATCTGCAGATGTTCTTGGCTTCTGACACTGATTTCACAGCTGTCCTCTCTGTTTGGCAGACCTGTGGGGTGGACTTTGAGGTGAAAGCTTTCTCAACAGAGAATCTGGAAGAGAGAATTCATAAGAGGTAACAGCACCCGTGTGTCTTCAACTTTGCCCTTCTTAAAGGGGATGGATTGTTAATCCAGTAGTGCACCTCGGTTGCACCTTTACCCCACATGTCATTGGACTTCTTGGGTGTTAGCACATGTGAATGCAGAACTCCTGCCTCTGCCAAGCAAAAAGTACCACCTCATTCTCCTCTGCTGCTTCCCAGGAACTCTGCACGTCTGCTGATCCGTAAGGTGCAATATGCTCCAGAACAGCCAGGACCTCAACCTTGTGCAGAGACCACCTGGCAGTTCTTCATGTCCAAAAAGCCATTACACTTGAAAGCTTGTCTCAGTAAAGAGGTGAGGAATTTTCCCTGGGCTGTGGACATCATAGTATTGGCGTGCCAATATGCATTTTGCTGCCTGTAGTAGCTACTTCTTGTGTTACTCGAATGGTCTCAGCTGAAATTGACTTGTCCCACCACTCAAGGGTTCTGATGTATTTTCTGCCAGTAGCTACTGTTAGGAGAGCCTGAGACCCAATTACCAGACACATTTGAGGCTAAATAAATAATTGAAAGGTCATGAATCATTGGGAAGGGCTTCTGTGCATTTTGTCTTCTGACTTCTGTGAGGACATGTAGTCTGGGATGACTAGAGGGGTTTAGGGCTTAGGAGAAGCCTCTTGGCTGGATATCTGAGCATCACATTTCTTCCAGGTGTACTACCATGGCGAGCCCATTCTAGTCACTGTTACCGTCAATAACAGCACAGAGAAAACAGTGAAGAAGATCAAAGTCCAGGGTATGTTTTTACTGTTGCTTGGGGCTCTTTGAGGGCAAGAACAGTGAATGAGGAAAGGACTGAAAGGAAACCAGAATTTAGTGCTTTCAACAGCTTAAGCAGGCGGTATGGGACAAGTCAGGAATTTGTCCCTCCACCCTGTTTCTGTTTCTTTGCTGTTCAAGTGATACACTGCAGCTTTTTGTCTGACTCTCATGGTTATTCCTATGGCTTAATTTCAGGCACCAGTATGCCCCCTCTGTTACAAGGACATATGCCTCTAGGACAAGTCAGGTGCTGTGGGGGAAAAGCTACCTTCAGGGAGGCCAGTGGGAAGGGCTTTCCTGTCAATGTGATGCTCCTGCTAAGTGTGATTGTGCCTTAGGTTGCATACAATTTTGCTTGGGGTTTCAGAAACATCTGGCAAAGTGAGAAAGGCCGCTCTGGCAGTCATGGTGTAACTTCTCCTGAGGAAGCTGTGGGCAGGGGCTGAGGTTCAGAGAACTCTCCTGTGCCTGTGTTTTACTTGTGGCACTGCATGTTTTCATTCCACAATGAGTGTTTCACTGCACTTGGACCTGTGGAAGACAGTCTGTGACACAAAGTATGAGAAAGAGAATTGCTGAGGTTTTTACAGAACTCTACAGCAGTGAAAGCCAGTTCAGAGCTGGTCTTGGATGTACTGTCTAGTGATTCCCAAATGTTTTAGGCTGACACACCTCTGTCAGGTTTAAAAAGACCTTGTTGGTCCCCATATTTTCTCCTTACCATTGTTTCAGTCAGGGGGGGTTTGTATTTTTATTGGAGAATATAAGCTATTTATTATCACAGGCTCTTGGCTGCAGTCTGCTTGGTGATGGTGTTTCCTGAATGCAAATGTGTGGGCTGTAGATACACAAGAGATACTAGTGACCAGAGATGAAAGCAGATGTGCTTAGAGAAGAAAGAGGAAGATCTTTATAATGGAAAGAGTAGGCTCACAAGGGAAACTGTAGGTTGTGGACTTTGTCTCTAGTCAAGACTGAGTGCCTCTCAGTGAAGATGGGAAGGTAGACTTTGTCCATTTCTGAGCTGTTGGTCTCTATCCAGGCCAGGATGTCTGACCTGGGGGTCCCTTCAGGCTCCAAATGAATGAGTTTTCCTGTTTTCCCCATACTTTATTCCATTTCAAGACTTAGGGGAGCAGCTATGTTGTTTCTGATGCTTATGCAAAATCGATTGTCCTCTTTCTCACTCAGTGGAGCAGGTTGCCAATGTGGTTTTGTACTCCAGTGACTTCTATACAAAAGTGGTAGCTTCTGAGGAAGCACAGTGAGTAAATGCTCTGCTTATCCCTTCTTGCTCCTTCATACCCTTTTAATTACCGTCTTCCTCAGTAATGGGAGGTACCCCTAGCTGTAGTCCGGCAGCTGCTTACTATTATAATGCTCTCTCATCTTTCCTTGTGCGGGTGTCCCACAGCACCTGTACTGTCTGGATGCAGGCACTGGCCTCCTTTGCATATAACCAGCAGGGACCCTGCACCTTTATTCAGAGAGTGGGGAGTTTGGAGAAGAGGTTTGAAGAGTAATTACCTACTAGAAAACCTTGGCAGGGGCTGTGGAAGGCTCCCCATTGCTTGAAAGCTTTATTAAGTAGAGATGCAACATTTTTCTGAAAGGTGTTGCTGTTTGGGTGGAAGTCATGGATGCTCTAGTTTGAGGTTAGTCTCTTCCACACCATTTCATTTGCTTTCTTCTGGCCTTAGAAAGCCCATTAAAACCATGAGCCTGCTGGCATTGTGGGGAGCCCCCTGTTCTTTTGTACTGCACAGTGCAGCATTGAACTTCACTTTGTGAGAAGGGTTAGACACACCAGACACTTTCCACTTTTCTGGTGTTCTGCTCTATAGCTCAGGGACATGTTTTCCACTGAGAATTGGTCTTCTCAACTAGGATACATTTTGTCCAAATTTGGAGGTCTGCAGCATAGTTTAGACCTGCTTTAGAAGTCTGCCTTAATGTGAAATGGATCATTTTCTGCAACTGCTTGTTCCTCTGTGATTATAAAGAGAATTTTTTTACTAGCTTAGATGTAGACATCTGCATTTGTAGACAATTTGTAATTTAGACAGATCAATCCCAGTCCTTCTGGATGGCTTTGTAATCTGTTTTGGTTGGGTGTGCAACCCAGTTCTGAGTGTATCACTTTTCTCCTCTCACCTGCTTCTTATTTTCAGGGAAAAGGTACAGCCAAACAGCAGTCTGACCAAGACACTGACACTTCTGCCATTGCTAGCAAATAATCGGGAGACACGGGAAATAGCTCTGGATGGAAGGCTAAAGGATGAGGACACCAACTTGGCTTCTAGTACTATGTGAGTAGAGTTTTAAATAGAGGGTTATAAAGAAAAGGGGAGGATGAAGCAGACACTTCTATCAGGAGTTTGTAGCTGTAAATGTGTGTTCAGATGTGTACATCTAAGTTGCATTACTTTATCATATTCCTTTAGGTTAACTAGTGACCACAGATCTGGAGAGGTATTAGCTGTCCCTGAGCCTTGTCTGCTTTATCCCTTTCAGGAGAATGGGATGTTCACCTAGTTCTCACTCCAGCTGTATATTATTGCTATGTTGCATTGTTGCCACCTGACACTGCTCTGTTTTCTCTGGTAGTATTAAGGATGGAATAGACAAGACAGTGATGGGGATCCTGGTTTCCTACAAGGTTAAAGTGAAGCTCACTGTCCCAGGGTAAGAGTATTAGACTTCTTGCTTCTGCATAGATTTAAGGGGGGAGTGTGTGTAACTTCATTGACAAGTGGGGAGAGGGCAGGACAGTGTCCCCAAGAGAAAGGGCACAGCTATAGAACATGAGGATCCTCTAAAGCAGAAATTTACCGGTAATCAGTTTTGGCCTGTCCAAAGGACTTGTCTTGAACCAGAGGGGTTGGATTACCTTCCTTAGATACCAGATGACTTTTCAGCTGAAGTATGAATCTCGTTTGCAGTTCATGTGAGGCTTTATGTTGGCATTCTTATTCTTCCAGAGCAGAGGTAGAGACATCTGCCTGCAAGTCATAAATACTGTGAGTCATAAATACTTGTGTTTTGTACTGACCAGCTTTCTGGAAGAAGCTCATGTTATTAACATGCTAGTTCCCAGCATAAAGTGCCAAAGAAGACCAGATAACAGCTCTGTGATGCTTGTCACTGTTTACATTTGTATTTCATTCATTTGTCCTTCTTTCTGGTATAAAAATGAGGCAATGACTTGCCTAAAACATAATAAAATGACTGCTGCCTTCTGTAGTCCTGCAATTGCCTTTGCCCTCTGGCTGTCAGAAAAAGAGCCATGCCCAGTACTTGGTCAGGAGTTCAAACCTTAGACTTTTTCTTCATGGGAAGGACATGAAAAGTTAAAGTTACATTTTATAAGAACAAGTTTATTTGCATGTTGTGCTTTGCAGCATATAGAGAAGAGTATATGAGGAAGGTGAGTTTAATGGTCCACCAATAAAACACTTGGTAGAGCACCAGAATGGAAAGGTACTAAATATGCTTCTGTTTTTCTCCTTGTTTTCTTCTGTAGCATGCTGGGAGACCTCACCTCCAGGTAAGTGTCATCTTCCCTTTCAGATCATGCAGTTATAGTTGAGAATTTGTCTTTTTGTACCCTCTTACCTATTCTCCTTCTCACCTCCCTGAAAAATATAACTATCCATCCAGCTGATAGAAGTCTGCGCATTCAGCTGTGAAAATGAAGCACTTACAGAAATACCATTGCTTTTATGTACATGCAAGTACATGATAAATTCAGTTTATTAAAGTGGATGTATCTGGGATATTTGTGGATAAATCAACGTTTAACTCTTTTTGAGGAGAAATTTACAATTAGATAAAGATGGAAGAATGGATGAAGCTGGAGTTCAGGGCTTGGGCTGGCCTGAGGTGGGAAGGGGATTGAATCAGGCACGAATGGAGTTGTGGATCTGATGCATTCTATCTTCTTCTCAAAGTGAAGTGGGCACAGAGCTGCCGTTTCGTCTCATGCACGCCAAGCCTGATGAAAATAACTCAGCAGGTCAGTTATGCTTGGATTTTGTCTTTTTTCATTAGCAGACTCAGATGAAATCTTACCATTGAAAGGCTTTAGAGTCTACAAGAGTCCAGTATGGGGCTGCTCTGTGTGTGTATATGTTTTTGCATGTGTGTATATATATTGTTCTTTCAACCTCAAAGCACAAATCAGTAGGGAGGGCGGATGCTAAGACGGGAGAAGGTAGAAAGGGATCATGTTCTGATTTTATCTTACATCTATGGAATCAGAATTTAAAGTGCAGTGCTTGAGGAAGCAGTTAAATCTCATGACTGCTGTGCAGAATGTCCTGAATGAAGCTGTCGGCAATTCCCAGACAGATCCCAATATAGCAAACAAGCTGTCACAAAAAAACACCTAAGACACAAGCAATGTAAAAAGCAAAATACTTTTAAGCAAAGTTGAGAGGTACTAAAACTGCACATGATTTTATAGTTCCCATTATCTTTATGTGGCCTTGGCCATGGTGTCTGTTCAGTGGTTATCTCAGAGGAATGTCTCTTTAGAGTCAGGTCAGTTTGTAGGAACTTTAAAGCAGTGTGAGGAGCTAGCCTTCCCCAGTCATGTGGAGGCTTGAGATCAAATGCCAAAACTTTCTTGAGCATCTGTGTTCTCCTCCCACTTCCTCAGGCCCTGGCTGGCTCTGCTGTCTAATGGTGAACATACAGAAACTGCAAGGTGCCTACACTGAGTCAGAACCTCCTGAAGCAGCTGAATCCTGAATCTGAGGCAGCTACTGAACAAAAAACCCCACTATGCCAGCATTTTATTTCTGGGGTTGTTGTAGACAAGTCTTCTTGTCCTGCCCTCTGTATTTGGACAGAGTTACATGGGCTTCAAACAGAACCCCATGGCTGCTTCTGTGCTGCTTTTCTTTTTCTTTCTTTTAATTTTCTCTTTGGGCCTAACCTTACCTAAAGCTGCTGTTACTAAGAAAGCACTGAACAATGATGGGACTTGTAGGAAGAGTTATCCTGAGATAGGTGCTTTGCTCTATACTGGAAGCATTAGAAAGGACTTGAGTCCTTATTATATGAAATTGTTGGAGGAATCAAGCGTGAGTGATGAGGAGAGACTGGTGATCCACTCTCCCCATTCAGTTGCTCTGGTTAGGAATCCATGTTTGCTAATTATGGAATTGCCTGAGCGAGCAGAATTAAGTTTCTTCACTCTTCTAAGGACTGCATTTTAGGATATTCTTACTTTACTGGGAGAAGGCCTGCTGTGAGCTGTGCCAGTATGGCCTGCTAGCACAGAGACAGAACATGCTCATAGGAGAATGCATGTTATGCCCCCATCAGATTAGCCCAATGAGTTTGGGAAGCACTTTCAGGACAAATCCACAAGATCTGTTCTCCTCTTATCCCCTTTATGCTGTGGCTGCAAAGGAGACAGCCACATCATTGAGGAGTAGCACAGAACACCCCACAGCAGCACGCAGCCCAAACCTGCCCCAGCTGTCCTGTGAAGTGGAAATTGGGTCCTCAGGGTTGGTCCATAGGACTAATACGGTTGGATCACCCTGGAGAAGCTGTTGTGAAGCAAATGCTTTTGTTGGCACAGCTGTGCCCACACTGCGGGTTTCCCTTTCATGCTGCAGGCCAGCAAAGCTCTGCCAGCAAAACACTGAGATAGCTACACACTTGATCTCAAATGGGTGCCTCACTGGGAGAATTGCTTTGGCAATGGTCTTCTGTCTCTTCTGGTAGCTTGTACATGCTGAAGCATCTCCCTCACACTTTCCTGCAGCAATCCCCCTGCCAGGAACTTGGTGAGGTGCTAGGGCTGGCACTAGTGGCCCCAGGAGCAGTGGATGGTGAGGGCCATTTAGTGTCAGTGGGAGCCCCATAGGGCAGAGGTGCTGGGTGGGCAGCTTAGGAGCTTTCATGAATATGGAGGAAAGGAACAGGCTGCCCAGGGGAGTGGTGGAATCGCCATCCCTGGAAGTGTTCAAAGCTGTGAAGATGAGGCCCCCAGTGATACGGTTTAGTGGTGGCCTTGGCAGTCCTGCGGTAAAGACTGGATTTGATGATCTCAAAGGCCTTTTCCAATCCAGGTGATTCTGTGATTCTCTGAAAGCTTGAAAACTTAAAACAAGGATCATCCAAAGACTTAGGCAACTGTAGATTTTATATTTTTAGAATGGTGTGAATTTTTTTACATGACAGTTTTTGGTGTTAACAGTGCCACCATCGCTTTTTTATTACTTATGCTTCAGGCAGATAATTCTGGCAGAAGTATTTGTAATATGAGGAAAATGGAAGTAATTTTTCTGTTAAAACATCATTTCAAAGGATGGCTGATATACTCCTTTATATAGGACGCTCAAAAGGATGTGGGTAGAAGACTTTACAAGGGAAATGAGCTGCGATGTTTCTTAGATTGCTTCCCCCAACACATTCTCTTAACTAAAGGCACAACCCATGTATTGTTTGCTACATCAAAGTCTTCTAGGAGCTGTCAGAAGACAGCTGTGGTTCATGTATTTTGCACAGGTTGAAATTTCAGATTTCTTGTAAACTGAAAACCTGTATTTTTTTCAGGTATGAGAAACCTGAAATTTCATCCTTTCAGGAGCTATCCCATGGGAAAGCCTTACAAATGATTAACTCCAGAAATAATGCTTTCTCATAAAAAAGATACTGCAACACAACAGCAAATTCCTCTGAAGCCTGCACAGCTGACTTGAAAACTGTGTTGGAATGTGGTGTCTGAGTTCATTATAGGGAATAAGACAGCCTCCCATTTGAAGCTGGTAAATGAAAACTACTTTTAGCTTTATAGTTTTCCATGCACTGTGCCTAATCACGCTTCCTAATTGTGAGTTTGTGGGTTTAAATTTTTATTCTACCACCTTAGCTCATAAACTCTGAGAAATAAAATGTGTTTCATTAGTGAAATACCATCTAATTTGGAATCAGGTGAATCAAGACTTGATTGCAGGATGGAGCTTCAACAGTGTTTAGGCTCTCAAAGGCCCCAAAAGATGGACTTTTTCTTTGTTGGCTTGTTCCACAGCCTCTGTAGTGGGTGTAGACTCTGTAGTGGGTGCATGCACAATGAATTCTGCCATCACTTCTTATCTTCTTTTTCCATTCCCTTTTGTTTTTATGGATGAGTCAGCAGTAACCAGTTTGCCTATTGCACTCCCTGCTGACTTGACTTTCACTTCATCTTAATGCACAGCTGGGAAAAAGGAAAGAAGTCAAACCATCTTATACAGTCAAAGCTAAACCGGGATGAAAAGATACCGCATACTATGATTTATTCCTTGCAGTGGAGCAATATAGTTTTCCTTTCTGGAGCCAAGATGATTTATGGCAAAGATAAATAAAACATGTGTAGCATCAGTATATTTAATCATGTAAGGCTGGTTTGAGTGTAGAGAACCTCAGAAAGAGAAGCTTCTCAAGAACATGGTTTAATTTTGGGGGGGTCAAAGTGGGGTTAGTGTGATGAACTTCTGTGTGCTTTATTTCACAGCAAATTGCTTTGCCCTTTTAATTTGTCTGTGAATAAGCCGTGAAGCATTCATCACTCTGTAAAAAGCAGGTCTCTCAGTCTATGGCTGTTGCAGCTTGCTTGGTCTCTGTGCCTGCAGGAGACAAAAAAGGAGTGTCTTGCTACCTTTCCCATATTTATTTATAGCTTCCTTGTCTTGGTCTTCTTGTAGGCCAGCATTTTGCATGTTTCATGTGTGCTGGTTTTGTAACTGCTTTTGTACCCATGTGTTTCACAGGTGGTTATTTTCAGTGCAAGCAGCTCCTGTCACATTGGCAAGTCTGTCTTTTCCGCCTCTAGACAAAAATGTAGAGAGATCTGTTTCTTTTAAAGATAGATTCAAACTGGGCTGTGTCTCTTCATGCTTCCAAGATCTTTCCCAGTCAGCAGTTAGCCCAGAAGCTCCTGCTGGGTTTTTCTCAAGGCTGTGGTCTCAGTGTGAGTTCTTTGGTCTGGGCTTTTCCTGCCCTTATCCTGATGTTTTACATTTTGTGGGCCGCCTGTGTCTTGGATACTGGCCTTTGTTTTGGCTGTTGTTCAACAAATGGTCATTTATCTGCTCCCTTGTTAAACTTGCACAAAAGGGCTGGTTTGAAGAAACCCATAAATGCTTTGTTCCTTTACTATTAAAGTTATACCTCCCCTATATCGGTATTGTAGCTTTGAGAAATTAGGGAATTTTTAAAGCACTTGAATGTCGTCAAAAATAACAGTGCTTCTCCCCCCCCCCCCCCCCCCCCCGAAGTTAGGAGAGGTTAAAAGCAAGTTTATAATGAAAATTACCATATGCCACAACTTTAATTATATGGAATCATTTCTGTGGCTGCCTAATAAAAGCTTACAGAAAACCCTCTGCGGAGAGCATGATGCCATTCCGGAGCCTTGTTGTTCCTTGAACACAGCCCCTTCCCATCCCAACCCTCAAAACAACTGCTGGCATGGCAGTTAAAAAAGGAAAGTCTTCCCATTTTCAGGCTCCTGAGAATTTTTCTCTGTTCTAATGTTAAAAAGCCACAGGACAGCAAGACAACTATGCGGAGTGGACCTAAGCTGCAAATGTTGCCATTTAACAAGCCCATGTGATGTAGTATAGCAGCCTGAAGGTGAAGTAGTGCATCTTTGAATTCATCTGGTGTATATGATAAACATTACTCCCAGCTACCCATGTACTGATTCAGTCATAATTTATCTGACAGACAAGTATATGTCTAACTGAAACAATATTAATTTTGTAAAATTGGCTTCAAACTGCTTTGGTAGGTATCTCACTTAGCTTCCCCCACACCACTGATGTCACTGTTCCCATAGTAATGAATGTACTTCAAAGTGGGGAAAGAGAGCAGACTATTTAAACAATAGAAATTGGAGGAAAATTTAAACAAGAGCGATGCTCTATGTGTTGGAAATTTTAAAAGTTCTAAATATTTCATATTTTTAAATATGGATGAATATTTTTTAAATCCATTTCAGTCAAGCATGCATGCCCTGAGACTTTCCAGACTTCATCTTGGGTTCTGTGAGTAGAGGAAAACATCCTTTCTGAGTCTGGATGGGCACCATCATGAACGTCTTTACAGGATCCATCGTTGAGGCAGTTTGGCTAGAGTGGCCCCATTTGGCATGCTTTTTAATGCTGACTTTTCCAGCAGTGCCAGTCACCTCTTCTTGCTCTTGATTTTTCAGTGTGTGTTGTGGGTGGGAATTCTCAAGGTAGGGAGTTACCTAGTCACTGAAGCATCTCAGATCCCAGACAGCTTCAGTAGAACGACGGACGAGGTGCACCTTGCTCCATAACTTCAGCTCATGAGAAGTAAGCCAGTGAAGTGACTGTTACTTGCTAAAGATAAAGTAACTGTGAGAACAAGAAGAAAAAAATCCCCACCCCTATTTCATCCCTGCAATACAGGCTGCTCTGATTAATTTAGGCTGTGCAGAAACAGCTTCCAAAGAATCCTGCTAGCAAGCAGAGTTTGTTACCTGCTTGTGGTGTGGTTAGCAAAGATCTCATTGAAGAAATGCATGTGCCAATGTTCTTAGGATTATATTTAGGAAAAGATGAACAGGGGTATTGCCTCAAGCATGTAACCTATCTAATGAGAGACCACCTAGGCCTTCCTGTATTCTGACCTCTGTTTGATTTTAATACCTTCATGTTTATTGAACGAGAACATCATATCAGCTGACTACTTACATTACAGTGACAGACCAACTAAAACTAACATCAGGTCATGCAAGCATTATCATTTCTGAGTAGAAATGTGTGCACATATGTGTCTCTCAGCTGTGATCACTAGCAAGCATAAATGGGAAAATCTGTCTTTGTTTCCTAGCTTTTCTGATGTCTTGATCAATGTTGCTTTCCTGTTTGGGAGATCAGGTTTTGCTCGATCAAGTGCACGTATGCACATTTTGAGTTCTCCTTGTACTCCTGCAAATCCTTCTGCTTGTCTCTGTTCTGGCTTGTCAGTTTATAAGTTTTTGCTGGTTTTAGCATCCACTGTTCTAACTAATTGGTGTATCTTTTTTCCTCCTGTACTGCATGCTGATGACTGCAGGGAAGGATGGGTAAGTTTCTTTTAATATTTCACATTCTAGCTGTGGTTGTGAATTGACTCTTTGAAAACTCCTTGAAACTGTCTGAAAATCCGTGGGGTTCACAGAGTACACTTAACTCCAAACTGAGAAAGTTATTATGCCTTGACAAATTACTGATCAGTTGAACTGCTATGACTGACCATGTGAAACTAGTTTAAGAGAACATGGTTTTGCCTCACAGTTGGAGGGAGGAATGTGTCTGTGGTCAGCTGATGTTCTCTAAATCTGAGTTTCAGGAACTCAATACACTTGACCGTGTGCCCTATTTTACTACAGAAGGAATAAGGATGAAAGGTTTCACATTTTGTATCTAGACAAAGACTCTTTCAGGCTGCAGACTATTCAGCTAGCTGATAAACATTTAGCTGGAATTGACGTGATTTGGTACAGATGAAAACCTTCTCAGTTTGTGTCCTGACTTGCCCAATCAACTGCTTTTCATGCTAGCTAGAATACCACTAATTAAGATGGTGCCTGTGGGAATGTGATCTAAATCCCTTTGAAGACAAAGGAAACATTACCAGAGCCTGCTCCAAGTTTCTCATCTTCCTCCTATCTGTTGCCTTTAGTCTCCTGGTATAAAAAAAAACCTGGTAACTGTGTGGTTTGGTTTCTTTTTTTTTTTTCCCATTTCAGTGAAGCAGAGATGGTATTTGAGGAATTTGCTCGCCAAGGCATAAAAGATATGGCTGATGATGAAGACAAGAATATGCCCTCAGCTGATGAGTGAGTCAAAGAACAAGCTGCCGGAGAAGATATGTAGTCTGGCATCAATTAGAAATGTTAGGACCTAGGTTTCTAGTGAACTGCATGTTCTCAGTCCACGCATGGTCTTCCAGGGATCAGCCCTGAGGTCAGTGGACATAAAATTATCTCTATTGCTTATTAAAAGTTTCACCTTTAGAGGAATGTAGCAAACTCAAGACCTGATGCTTACTTGAGCTACCAGAGGAGGCCAGGGAAGGCTGTTGTGCCATGACTTCTGCTTTCAGAGCTACCTAATAAAAACCTTGGTTGCTTTCAGCACTGCTGATGGTTTGTGCGGCTGTCTAGACTTGTCAAAAAGTATCTAATTTTGAAATGCTAGTGAGCCAAATCCTAGTCTGGAAGGCTGGCTTACAGCCCTTGGTGATTTACTGAAGTTTCTCAGTGGACTGTACAAAACTGGTTTTATTTCCTTTTGGTTGCTTTTTTGTTTATGCTTTATCAAACTCATCTAGTGAATATTCTCACTGAGCCTGCACCCTTTACTGTGGCTTACATCCACTTCCTGTACGATTAAGTTTCTGGCAAGTTATCTTCCATGGCAGCAATAATGCTGAGATACCATGTTAGCTTTCTAGCAATATGCTTAACAACCTCATTATTAAAGATGAGAGAAATATGCACTATTAATTCCTTAACAGAGCTCCCTTTATATAACCCCAGATAGCAAACTGCAAGTCCAGACTGATCCTGTATGTAATCTAATTTCCTGTATGCAACAGTGCTTCAAAAGAGGGTGCAGTAAAATTAAGGAGGAAATTACGGGGCAGCCTGCTCTGAAGAGTCTTTTCCAACATCCATCTTCCAGAGGTCGGTTTATGCTTTAAGAAATGAGATTGTATTCTGAAAACTTTGTTCTCTCTTGTTGATCTGGATATTCTCATTATCCATGTAAATGTCTAACCCTTTCCTGAATCTCACTTAGATTTTGGCTGAAGTGAGTTGCATCAGCTAATTACATTTTGCATGTAAAACAACTGGTGTTTTCTTTCTCTTGTTTTTGCTCTAAATCTCCTTTTCAATGTCTCTGGTTTTAATCTGGAAAGCCTGAATGCAGGGCCTTACTTTTTTAATATAAACTTACATTTTCCACCCTATGCACCGGAAAACGGAATTAAGAGCTTTCCACTTAGTTAACAACGATGCACTTTTCACAGAGAAGAAAATGAAGGAGACATTGAGATGTCTGCTTCCTCCTGGCAGGAGTGGGACTGCTGCTGAAATCCTGCTGCAAGCACGATGCACTTCCGTCCTGCTTCACACTGCAGAGGCTGACAAACCAGGCTTGCCCTCTGGCTTAGGTTACTACTGATAACTGTGACAAGCTAAAGCAGTTGGAGAAGTGTGGGCTGCGCTCTGGTATTTCTGCAGAATCACTCTAAATACAGGCCTTGTTTTCTGAGCAGAGTTTTGTTTATTTTTTCTTACAGACTTCATCATGGTTACAAGTCCCACTTTTACAGATGGGCCAAAGGCATTAACCAAACAGCTTTGTATGTGGCCTCTAACACAAATAGATTGGGTTAAAAGTTAAGCCTTCTCCTGTTTCTTTCTGTAAACTGGTCTTGATTAAGATGAATTAAGACCACAGCTGATTTCACAGTTCCATCAGTGTTTTCACCCAACACCACCTGGAACCGTGTTTGGTTCTGTTAGTCACAACTGCCTCACCTTAGATGAAATTGCAAGAGTTGGTACGTGTGCTCTGCTCTTTTCTAAGCACTATGTGCTTTGCTGCTGAATAAACCCTGTGGCCATTTTCAGGTGTTTGTGGTCAGTGTAATTTGTATGATTTCAGCTTTGACTTTTGGAGGAGGACTAGGCATTTTCACTTAGATTTCTGGCCAGGCTTTTCCAATAATTTTCCTGGTATTTTTATTACCAAGTTCTTGGTGGCTTGTGAAGAACCCACCAATACAGTAAGGATTGAACAAATTGCTCTTTGTGAATATGGTGGTCTTGGAGAGCTAGTACTTAGGATTTAAAGATACTAAGAAGAGGTACAACAGTCTTCAAGTATTGCTTCAAAGTGTGGCTTCTTCCACAGAGCTGTTTGCTTCAGTGTTCCTGGAGAAGAGATTCAGAGCAGCCCTAAGGAGAAGGACTTGGGGGTGCTGGTCAATGAGAAAAGGAACATGAGCCGGCAGTGTGCACTTGCAGCCCAGAAAGCCAACCATATCCTGGGCTGCATCAAAAGGAGTGTGACCAGCAGGTCGAAGGAGGTGATCCTGCCCCTCTGCTCTGCTCTCGTGAGACCTCACTTGGAGTATTGTGTGCAGTTCTGGTGTCCTCAACATAAAAAGGACATGGAACTGTTGGAACAAGTCCAGAGGAGGGCCATGAGGATGATCAGGGGACTGGAGCACCTCCCATATGAAGACAGGCTGAGAAAGTTGGGGCTGTTCAGCCTGGAGAAGAGAAGGCTGCATGGAGACCTCATAGCAGCCTTCCAGTATCTGAAGTGGGCCTATAGGGATGCTGGGGATGGATTCTTCATTAGGGACTGTAGTGATAGGACAAGGGTTAATGGATTAAAACTTAAACAGGGGAAGTTTAGATTGGATATAAGGCAAAAATTCTTTCCTGTTAGGGTGGTGAGGCACTGGAATAGGCTGCCCAAAGAGGCTGGGAATGCTCCATCCCTCGCAGTATTCAAGGCCAGGTTGGACGAGGCCTTGGGTAATATGGTTTAGAGCGAGGTGTCCCTGCCCATGGCAGGGGGGTTGGAACTTGATGATGTTAAGGTCCTTTCCAACCCTAACTATTCTATGATTCTACTGGACCCATAAGTACGGGACTAACAAACTTAGAGGCCTGATGCCTTTTTTCTTTTTCTTTTTTTTTTCTTTTCTGTGTCATCCTTGTTGAGGTACCTTTCACTGACTTTCAAATTCCTCTCAAATTCATCTGTGGTGATGACTTCTGTAAGCTGTGTTAACAAAATCCCAGTGCACTCTGCTGTGCAGCAGGGAGGAGTTGAAATGGTTGTTAACCTGCTCTTTTGCCTGGGCTTAGGAAAGCACTTTCAGACATTGACCGTTTGTTTAGCCATGTTCGATGTTTGCTCATTTACTCAGAGAGCAAGGGCTTTCTGCTGGTTCCTCCATCTCCATGTCCTGCTGCAGGCCAGGTTGGATTGTATTCTCCTGCCCTTCAGTCAGCAGATGCTGAGCTCTGTCAGCAGAAAAGAGGTCTCTAGCAGGAACTGTTTGGCTTTTATCTTCCCTTTCTTCTGGTTCTGATGTTGCATTGATCTTCCACCAAGTCAGACCTGTAGCCTGCTGCCCCTGTTTGCAGCCGGGAGAGAGTGATCCAGTTTCCTGACCCTCTGCCTTTGATGTGGTGGGACTCCATTTATAGAAAGCCTGCCAGCTCTGGGAGAGGGATGCGCCCTGGTAGCGATAGCATCTCTGAAACATACGTGGCCTCCGTGCTTTAGCTGTCTGCTGATGGACTGGTTTGGTAACAGATGCTTCCCCTGGAACATCTTCATGAAATCCCAGCTGACATCCTCGGTAGTGTCCCATAGATGCAGCTAATGCGATGTTACCTTATGGAACCCATGAGGAATGGTGTGGTGATAGGCAGAGTCAGGCAAGAGTGTTCCTCTACTGCAAAATACAGAGGCACTTGGCAGCAGGAACCAGTTTTGGTGCTGTATGTGATTAAAAGGACGCGTGAAGTGGAGGAGGTGCAAAGTACCTTTGTCTGCAGGAGGTTGGTACAGAAGGTCTTACCTAGAGAGACGAGGATTTAGCTAGTGTTTTATTAAATGGAACAATTGCAGTGCTGGAAACAACCCCTGTGCTCGGCACCGAGATTCAGGCTTTTGGACTCGCCACCTCCCCGACGTCTGAGCTGAAACCCTTTTCTCTGGCTCCAAGCAATCGCAGTGCGCTCGGGCGCGGCAGGGGCCGGTGTGAACGATGCTCGGGACCGTGTCGGTTCGCAGCCGTGTCGGGGTGCGCGGGTAGGGCCGGGGGCGGCGGCCTGCCTGGGCCCGCCTCTCTTCGCCTCAGCAGTTCCCCTCCGACCTGCGCCATTGCGCGGCCCCCGCCAGAGGGCGCCGCAGCGACGGGACGGGCGAGCGGCTGCAGAGTGCGGCGGGAGGGGGCGCCGGCCGCGCCGCCCCGCACCGTGCAGCATGGCGGCGGCGGCGGGCGCAGAGCAGCCCCAGGCCGGGGCGGTCGCCGCCGCCAGCGCCACGGCGGAGGAATCGTCAGACAGCGAGCCGGAGCAGGAGCCGGGCTCCCCGCAGAAACTCATCCGCAAAGTCTCTACGTCCGGGCAAATCCGCCAGAAGGTGCGTGCGGCGGGTGGGGGCCGCGGGCAGGGCCTCGGGCTCCGGCAGCGCTGCGGCCGGCTCTGCCTCCGCGTCTCTCAGCGCCCTCGCCTCCCCTCCCGCTCGGCATGGCCTGCGCCTCCGCCGCGGAGAATGCCCGCCGGCAACCCCAGTCCGTCCCTTTTGGAGTTGCCGAGGACCCCCCAGACCTCTCTCGGTTGCCTGCCGGGGGGCCCCTCCAGCCCGCCCCTCAGGGAGCTGCCGGCGATTCCTTCTCCTCTCTCCCGCTTCTCAGGGACTTGCTGGCGACGCCCCCTCCCCCGCATCCACCCCTCAAGGACCTGCCACCGGTCACCTCGCACACACCCCGTTTCTCCGGGACCTGCCCGCGATCCCCTCCCACAGCCCCCACCGCCCCTCACGGACTCGGCCATTTTCGCGCTCCCCCTTCCCCAGCCGCCCCTCAGGGACATGCCGGCGACCCTCAAACCGCACCTCGGAAACCTGCTGACAACAGCTTCCCCTGCAGCTCTTCATGGACTTGCAAACCCCCAGATGGTTCTCAGGGATCTCCATACCTGACTGCTTCAGCTGCCTGTCAGTAGCTGCCCCCTAAATGCCCTTCAGTGTATGCCAGTGACCCCCTAATTTCCCTCGGGCTCTTGGAATTGCCCCCAGCCACCCTGCAGGTAGCACTCCCAAACTACGTTTCTGGAGTCATGTAGGAACCTTCCCAAGAGCCCAGCTTAGGCTGCCTTCTTCCCAGTGCCTAGGTTCAGACCTGCCGGGGAGCGTCTCTGTCTTAAGTGATCAGTGTGCCCAGGCTGAGCGGGACCCTCCTGGCTTACCGCTTTTCTTCCTTGCTTGCTTCACCTGCACTATTTTGTTGGAGTCATGGAAGTCAGATTTGAGCTTCCCTCTATTACCTCATATATCTGACATATTTGAGCTCTAAGGGCATTCCCAGGCCCTGAAGTTGTATCTCCTCCTTTTTCCCCATATCAGAATTGCTGGGGGCTCCCCTCCTCACCTCCCTTTGCTTTCCCTGAAGGACCCTGTCACAAGCGGTCCCTCACTGCCACTTTCCTAACTCCCTTCCTGTGGCCCTGTTGGACATGGCACAAGTCACTGTGTCAAAGCCAGAGCACTGTGCTTTGAAAGGTGCATCTCTCATGTTGTGTGCCTTCCTCAGCATCTTCCCATCCTTTTTATGGTTCCATCCCAATTTTCCCTATTTTAGATTGTGGTATTTTTCTTTTCTGTAACCATGTATCCTCCAGCTGATTAGTCTTTGCGCCCATCTTTTTCTACCCTGCTTTGCCTCCCCGGTCAGGCGACAATCTTTTCTACCTTGCTTCCCTGGGCCGACTCAGTTTTTACCCCTTTGTGACTCATTCTGGAGCAATAATGCCGTTTTGAGGGGCAGGAACGGTGGGTGTTCTGCAACTGCAGCTACGGCTGTAGTTCCTCTGTACTGTTACTGTAAGAGAAGATGTGAAGATTTCCTTGAGCCTTAGGCTAGGAACCACCCACAGGGAGTTGCCCTGTTCTGTGCTATTTTTATTGTAGTTGCATGATTTTTCTTTGTAGCCATTAAAATCCTGTATAACTCTTGGATAGTTGTGTGATATGTGTCTGCTTAGAAATACCAGGTTAAGTTACTCTCATGCCATCACTTTCCTGTTGGCTCTGGAGCATGGGCAAGCAGCTCTGTGGGTGCAGAAAGCTTGCTCAGTGCTGATGCTGCTAGCTCAATGTTGTGTACCGTGTATTCATAGTGAAAGAGAGTAAATATCTCTGCATGATGCAGTGCTGAAGAGTTACTCATAAGGATCTTTTTTCTTCTGGCTAGCTTGCCCTACTTTCAAACACATAATGTATCATTATTCTGCTGCTCGTCATCATTATGCTACATCGGTTCCAGTTCTGAAAACCCTGGTGACAAAGTATGGTCATACATGAGGACCATGTGCTTGCTTCATTACGCATGGCAGGGCTGCTTCCTCCATCTGTGCAGTGCTGCTGATGCTGTCACTCATGGAGTTAAGGCACTGAGGGTCTGGGCTGTGTGAGTGAGATGGTTCTGTTGGCCACAACAGGAAACAGTGAAGCTCTCTACATGGGTTGGTATGCAGTGTATCAGGCAGATCTGAGCCATGCTGTAGCACACTTGTCTGCTGTGAAAAAAAATAAGCCTTTTGAGATCTTTTCCTTTGCACAGGGTGCTGAATATGAGAAATTTGTCTCGCTGGA